AACATCAGCTGATGTTCTGTAAACATCAGCTGGAACATCAGCAGACAGAATAACTCAGTCTGGTAACAGAACGACTTCAGGACGTATTAGATGTAGAGACACCATGAACTTCACTGTTGACACTTCATTCAACAGGAAGCAGAYGTTTTCAGCTACWGTACGCATCAAACCTCTGTAAATGTTTACTTGTTGYGTTTATGTTTGTAAACATCTGGTGCTTCCTGTAAACAACGTGTGTTTGTGTGTTTCCCTCCAGAACCCGGTGACCGGACTGCTCCCGGCCAGCGTCCAGAAGAAAGACGCCTGGGTCAGGGACAACGTCTACAGCATCCTGTCCGTGTGGGGGCTCGGCATGGCCTACCGCAAGAACGCCGACCGAGACGAGGACAAGGCCAAGGCCTACGAGCTGGAGCAGGTAGGTCTGAACTTCAGCTGATTTTAGCTGTGTGTTGTGAACTTCAGCTGACTTTAGCTGTGTGTTTTGTTTTGTCGGCAGAGCGTGGTGAAGCTGATGCAGGGCCTGCTGCAGTGCATGATGAGACAGGTACGACACACCTGTGTTCCTGCGGTTTACTGGAACCAGGTGAAGTTAGTTTTTCTTGCTGTAAACTCTGAGCTGACATCTGAACAACAAACACACAGAAACTCCACTTCCTGTTTGTTCAGTGTTGAATGGAAGCGGATGATAAGAAAGTATCAGAACAAACGAAGCATCGGCTGTTTTTAGTAAAATGGCCGATGAGTCAGCCGAGCCTGAAGCAACTGGATCAGAACCCCCAAACCTGAGGTCCTGGTCCAGGTGAGGTTCTGCCTCAAGTGGAGGAACTGAAGTTTCTCGAGGTTTCAGGGTCAGGATGGAAGGATGGACTACTTTAACTTCTTCTGCTAACGTTTAATTAGCCTTTTGCTAATTTTAGCTCAYTTTCTGCTTGTATCTTCTATCAAGTCTTCTGCTACTTTTAACTCCCTTCTTGCTTTTATCAGCTAGCTTTTTGCCTTTTTTGGCAGTGTTTTTTTAGTTCCTCATTTGAACATTTAGCTCATGTTACAACAGATTCCAGTTTTTAGCTGATGTTTCAGCAGATTTTAGTTGATGGTTCAGCAGATTTTAGCTGATGTTTCAGCAGATTTTAGCTGATGTTTCAGTAGATTTTATCTGATGTTTCAGCAGATTTAAGCTTTTAGCTGCTATTTCAGCAGATTTAAGCCGATGTTTCAGCGTATTTCAGTTTATAGTTGATTTTTCAGCAGATTTAAGATTTTAGCTCATGTTTCAGCAGATTTCAGCTGATGTTTCAGTAAATTTCAGTTTATAGCTGATGTTTCAGCAGATTTCATCTGATGCTTCAGCAGATTTCAGCTGATGTTTCAGTATATTTCAGTTTATAGCTGATGTTTCAGCAGATTTCAGCTGATGTTTCAGTATATTTCAGTTTATAGCTGATGTTTCAGCAGATTTCATCTGATGTTTCAGCAGATTTTAGCTGATGTTTCAGCAGATTTTACTTGATGTTTCAGCAGATTTCAGTTGATGTTTCAGCAGATTTCAGCTGATGTTTCAGCAGATTTTAGCTTATGTTTCAGCAGATTTCAGCTGATGTTTCAGCAGATTTTACTTGATGTTTCAGCAGATCTCAGCTGATGTTTCAGCAGATTTCAGCTGATGTTTCAGCAGATTTTAGATTTTAGCTGATGTTTCAGCAGATGTTAGTTGATGTTTCAGCAGATTTCAGCTGATGTTTCAGCAGATCTCAGCTGATGTTTCAGCAGATTTCAGCTGATGTTTCAGCAGATCTCAGCTGATGTTTCAGCAGATTTCAGCTGATGTTTCAGCAGATTTCAGCTGATGTTTCAGCAGTTTTCAGCTGATGTTTCAGCAGATTTCAGCATTCACACATAAGAAGCTGTTACTGTAGTTTTATTTGGGCGGTTTGATGTTGATCTTTTTAATATTTTAAAGACTTTGAAGCTAAAATCAGTCAGAAAACCAGAATATAAAGTAAAACCTTCCTCAGTTTGATCCAACATGTTGGTTTTTGTTTCTAGTTGTTTTGAAGGACTTTTGTTCTCAGGTGGAGAAGGTGGAGAAGTTCAAACAAACCCAGAGTACAAAGGATTGTCTTCATGCCAAATACAACACCTGCACCTGCTCCACGGTGGTCCGAGACGACCAGTGGGGTCACCTCCAGGTGGACGCCACCTCCATTTACCTGCTGATGCTGGCTCAGATGACGGCCTCAGGTGCAGGACTCACTCAGACCCAGGTTTGACTGCGGTCATCAGGTTTTCTGTCCCATTTAGAGACCAGGTTTCAATGTCGTCCCACAGGTCTCCACATCGTCTCAAACCTGGACGAAGTGGCTTTCATCCAGAACCTGGTTTTCTACATCGAGGCGGCCTACAAAGTGGCGGTGAGACAAATGTCAGCCGATCCACCTGGAAAAACAACGTTTCAAATGAAAAATTAAATCTGAGTTTTCTGACGAGTGGTCGAATCTTTGCAGGATTATGGGATGTGGGAACGAGGCGACAAAACCAACCAGGGCATCCCCGAGCTCAACGGCAGTTCAGTTGGGATGGCTAAGGTACACTTCCTGTCTGATCTGATTAATCTGACGTGGGATCAGAAAAACTCAAACAGGCTGACGATGTCTGCAGGCAGCTCTGGAGGCCATCGATGAGCTGGATCTGTTCGGTGCTCGCGGAGGACCAAAGTCCGTGATCCACGTTCTGCCTGATGAAGTGGAACACTGTCAGGTAGCACCGGTCTTCCCTCCACCTGTCTCCACGTCCGCTCTGCCGTGCACCTGTTCATGTGGGCGTGGTTCCTCCTCAGGCCATCCTCTGCTCCATGTTACCCAGAGCCTCCACCTCCAAGGAGATCGACGCCGGCCTCCTGTCCGTCATCTCCTTCCCCGCTTTCGCCGTGGAGGACGCTGACCTGGTGGCCATCACCAAGTCAGAAATTATCAGCAAACTTCAGGTGAGCAGGAGGTAAACTTCTGGTGAGCAGGAGGTAAACTTCAGGTGAGCAGGAGGTAAACTTCAGGTGAGAAGGAGGTAAACTTCAGGTGAGCAGGAGGTAAACTTCAGGTGAGAAGGAGGTAAACTTCAGGTGAGCAGGAGGTAAACTTCAGGTGAGCAGGAGGTAAACTTCAGGTGAGAAGGAGGTAAACTTCAGGTGAGAAGGAGGTAAACTTCAGGTGAGCAGGAGGTAAACCAGGTGAGCAGGAGGTAAACCAGGTGAGCAGAGGGTAAACTTCAGGTGAGCAGGAGGTAAACCAGGTGAGCAGAGGGTAAACTTCAGGTGAGCAGGAGGTAAACTTCAGGTGAGCAGAGGGTAAACTTCAGGTGAGCAGGAGGTAAACCAGGTGAGCAGGAGGTAAACTTCAGGTGAGCAGGAGGTAAACCAGGTGAGCAGGAGGTAAACCAGGTGAGCAGAGGGTAAACTTCAGGTGAGCAGGAGGTAAACCAGGTGAGCAGAGGGTAAACTTCAGGTGAGCAGGAGGTAAACTTCAGGTGAGCAGGAGGTAAACTTCAGGTGAGCAGGAGGTAAACCAGGTGAGCAGGAGGTAAACTTCAGGTGAGCAGGAGGTAAACCAGGTGAGCAGGAGGTAAACTTCAGGTGAGCAGGAGGTAAACTTCAGGTGAGCAGGGGGTAAACTTCAGGTGAGCAGGGGGTAAACTTCAGGTGAGCAGAGGGTAAACTTCAGGTGAGCAGAGGGTAAACTTCAGGTGAGCAGGGGGTAAACTTCAGGTGAGCAGGAGGTAAACTTCAGGTGAGCAGGAGGTAAACTTCAGGTGAGCAGGGGGTAA